CAATCAACTGGGAGGGGCATGAGCACTGAGCAGTGTGGCAAGTGATCCCACAGCCACCAGCAGACAAAGTGTGATGTAGAACAGGTAGCCTGTGGCTTAGGACATCGGTGGCTGTTACTTAGTGAAGTCAGAGGTTAAAGTAGCTAATTTTGCTGCTTATAGCTCTGTAATGTGAGTTTAGACCCAGAGCATGCAACTTTATTTTAATATTTCAATGATTCATAGTTTTACTGTAAAATGTGCAAGTTTTTGTCAAGCAAAGCCTTAGATTTTATTCAAAACATGTAAGTTTATCACACAAGGCCCTTCTGAGGGCTTCTATGGCACACAGGTGATTTTAATGTAGTGATCATAGTCACCCCGACCTCTGGTTGAGAATGATCAATTTTTTGGTAAAAAATAGAATATTTATGATAAATTTCAAGACATTTATTGTACTCAGTTAGATAGAGAATTAAAAAACCGCTTGGAGTAGCTTTCTGTACATCAATTTTGGACAATGTGTGAAATTGTTGACCCCTGGTCATGTCAGGTCAAGTCACCAGGTCAAGTTAACTGACCAAGCCTAAAAAAGTTTGCAATCATGTCCAGCCTGCAGTGCCAGTGCTCTGCTCGATGTGCAGAGCACTGGCAACTAGCCATCATAAGTGTCTCTCTGTATGTGTTTCCCTTTCATCTTTTATTGCATTTTATCATCGCCTGTTTTACTGACGACGGGCAGTAATTGCCACATGTTCCAGTGGAATGTCCTGAATAAATTATTGTCTATTGTTTGTCAGAGAGGTTTTAAACTTGGTGGATTGCATGATGTTATGGGCGCCTTTAATTTGTATATCTCGTTTTTTTTTTTATATCCGTGACCTAAGGTCAGGTCAGTGGCGTGACCTTTCCATTATAAGTCAATGGAGAAAAGCGAAAATGCCTCTAGATCCGTGTGTACGCATAGGAATGCCTCTAGATCCGTGTGTACGCATAGGAACAGTCAAAATATTTCAGAATCACAATGATTTGGACCACCCGTGACAACCAAGGTGTCTTTTTTTGCTGATAGCCTTTAGAAAGGTCATTCGAGGTTGTCGCCGACCATAACGAGCCTCTGGTCTAGGCCGGGACATTTCTTGTAGCGGAGGAAAACGTAGTTGAATTTTGAAGAATGCATTGAAGAAATCCGGACGATAGACGATGATGAACGGTAGACGAGGATGAAATGAAGAACGCACAGTAGAATAGACAAGGAGACCAGAAAGCACAATGGGCGCTGTCGATGAAGTTCACTGTTCAGAGTTCGGAGTCCGCCGGCAGAGGCGGATCCAGCTCAGAGTTTTTTTTTTGGGGGGGGGGGGGCAAACCATAAAAATTTATCGATTCTTTCCATGCATCGTCCATAGGCGTAATGTTAAAATCATGCCGTTTGGGGGGGGGGCAAATGCCCATTTTGCCCCCCCTGGATCCGCCACTGTCCGCCGGGGCGGACACTCGGCGCCGCCGCGGACGGGGCGCCGTCAGATTCGTTCACTGCACTCCAATACGCCGGCGCACGTCGGGGCGCCGGCGAATTCGCGCACTGCCACTGAGCTACTGCGCTCAGTGGCGTTCACTTTGGGCTTTGGCAACCCGCTGGAGGTGCCAGTTCACTTTGGCAACCCGCTGGGGGTGCCTGTTCACTTTGGCAACCCGCTGGGGGTGCCGTCGGAATCGTGCGCGGTGCACGATTCCGTCACTTCACTTACACCGGCGCACATCGGGGCGCCGGCGGAGCTGTGCACCGCCACCGAGGACTGTACTCGGCAGGGCTGCGGAGTCGGAGTCGGAGTCGGAGTCGGAGTCGGTCGGAGTCGACAGTTGTAACCGGAGTCGGAGTCGGAGTCGATTTTAGAAACCCAAGCCGGAGTCGGAGTCGGAGTCACAGAAAATCTGTCGACTCCGCAGCCCTGCTAGGTCTGCGGAGTCGGAGTCGGGAGTTGGAGTCGGTCGGAGTCGACAATTCTGCCCGGAGTCGGAGTCTGAGTCGGAGCTGGTTTTTGAAAGCCGGAGTCGGAGTCGGAGTCGCCGAAAATCCATCGACTCCGCAGCCCTGGTACTCGGTGACGTTCAAGTGGAGACTGCCCGCCGCGACTCGAGAAGCCGCCGCGGACAAAGAGAACAATAATGTCGTACGTCCAAAAGCACTCAGTAAGTGACACTGGAAACTGGTGAGAAAAGTCCGAAAAGGCTCACGCAGCACGTTCGGTAAAAGGATACGGTGCGCGGCGAGCACGCTCAGCCTTCAAGTGTGAAGCGATAGCGCGAGTGACAAATTATAGCCAATTAGAACATGAGACGAGAAACTAACACAAGAGCTGGTCCAGGCTCACGGGGCACGACCAGTACTGCGATAGATCACGTCAAATGTAGGTAAAACGAAAGAGCCAGTTCATTTCGTCGGTGACAGAGGTCATTTGAGGTCACAAACAGATTTTTGCCAATAACTCTATTGGAAAGAGATAGAACGCTGGGGATGACCTCATTGTGTTTGTCTTGCCGAGATGCATCGAGTGATATGCAACATGACCTTTTCCGGTAAGGTCATGACCTTGACCTGAGGTCAAATTTTCAAGTTGACCTTTCAAGGTCAATTTTAATTCATTCGACGCGTCTTGGCGAGAGAAACACGATTCTGGCAATAGAAATGTCGTGTTTTTCTTTTTAGTCAAAAGTTATCGTCGAAAACGTAAAAACAGCTATTTTTGGAGTTTTTGCCCTCTGGAGGCTAAACCGTTGACCTGAGGTCATTTTTGACGATGATCTCATCAAAAGAAGAGTTCAAAAGCTATCGATTGCTTTTCCATGCGTTTTTCTAGCTATCATAGTTCCTGAGATAATGACATGTTTTCTGAAAAATATAAGGACAAATCGCAAATTTTGACCTTACATGACCTCTGGTGACCCCAATATTGCTCTAAGATGAAAAATAACTGGAATACTTTCAAACGTACGCATCGAAAGCTACCGACTGCTTTTTACCGCGTCTTCCTAGCCCTCTTAGTTTTTGAGTTAGAGGTGGGTGGTAACATATGCCCCCCCCCCCCCCTCCCACTGGCGTGAAGTTGGCTGAGACCGCCACTGGGGCGCGTGTTAAATGTTGCCGGCAGGCGGCAAGACTAAAAATTAAAACCTAAAGTGAATGAAAATGCACAAGTGAAATCGCTGTGGGAAGAACTATTGTCCCAATGCACACTTTACCGTAAAGTGGGGCTATTTGAGACAGTGGGGCTATTTGAGACAGTATTTGAAATCGTTATAAAATGAAGATCTTTTGATTTTTGTGTGATAATTTTGCTCAGGGAGGTGTGGAATCGAGCAGTAAATCACCTGAGCAAAAAAGCATAAATTTTAAGTGGTTTTTATTTTATAGTAATTTTAAATACTGTCTCAAATAAGAGAGCTCAAGGTAGATCCCAGCTACGATTATTGTTGTCAATATCGAGAAAAGAATATGAAACATGACACCGGCCCATACCCCACCTTACGGTAGCCACTTTTGTAGGGAAAAAGTCAATTCTGAAGGAACTGCGGGCCGGCACACAATGCTAGTTGCTGATTCCAGCCGCGGGCCGGACGTCAGATGGTCGCGGCCTGGATCTGGCCCGCGGGCCGTAGGTGCCGACCTCTGCACGTTCCAACGTACTGACAGTTGCAGTATTCCACGTTCCGCCCATATGCTGACACGGAGCCCGTTTCTTCCTTCAGTGGGTGTTGCAGCTTCTGCCAATGCTGCGCACCACTGACAGTTGTCCACCATCGGCTCATAGCTGCCATGAACTGCCTCGACACCATGGACTTCCCTGCCGCCTCCCTGCTGCTGCTGCTGCTGCTGCATCACCCACAGGTCAGCTACTCGCCCCGAGTCCTGAATTCACAAAACATACATACATAGGAGAGACCCAGGAGGTATGGGCCGCTTTTATGAAATTCCAATTTTCTTCCTGTGGGCAGCGGCTAGACCTAGTTATTCACTCTGCGTACGTGAAATTGCGCTGCCTGTAAAGTGTGCCTAACATTAGGCATCTGGGATCAACTATTTTGTCTCGAGATAACTTTTAATAAATCATGCGCTTTTTTGATCCAGCATAATAAACCGGGAGGTATGGGCCGGTGTCATGTTTCATATTCTTTTCTCGATATTGACAACAATAATCGTAGCTGGGATCTACCTTGAGCTCTCTTAGAGCCCAGGAACCGCATAAGCGGCCAACAGCTTGCTTCATGGAGATCACTTGGCCAATTTACGCAGTCAAATGTGCAAAAAACGCAAAACTTCTTTAAAACTGCGATGGCCCATACCTCCAGGGGGCATATACCGCCTGGGTCTCCCCTACAAAACAGCATACTAAATAGAAATGCATGCTAGCGCGATTGGAATGCATGACATGTACTCTTTGTACTGTACATCTACATGTCATCAGGTTGGTGATCAGGTTGGATCATCAGGTTGGTGATCTACATGTCAGGTTGGTGATCAAGCCAACAAATACATATACTTCACTATAGGTTGTTAAGTTAATATGTTTTTTTTTTAGCAGCAAATTACCTACCCAACCTTCTGTTAGATAAGTGAGAAGAGGGTTCATATGGATACTTCGGTAATGATTTTCAACCGTTTCCATGCTCGAGCATCAAAGCTTTGTCTATGAGAGCGCACACTCGTCAGCGTTATCGTCTTCCAGATCGTCGTCCGCGCACCCTGCTCCCAGCTGACAGGCTCTCTGAGGAGAGCAGTGGTGTCGACCGTCGACCTGCCGCTATGACGCTCTCTGTTGTTAGTGGTACGTCTCGGCGGGTTTGTTTTTCGCTGGATAGTCTCGCTGACGACTATCTTAATATGAGCAAATAGAGGAACTGATCGGCAGTCATTTGTTCAGTTCAGTTCAATGTATTTCGAATCATTCCATTGCATGGTTTAGTATTTGATTCGATCACACACACAAAAGACATGGTACACCTAGCCCGTCCCCCCCCCCCCCACACACACACACGTACACGCACACATGCACAAACACTGCCGCAGTAGACTGATGAGTGCAGAGCAGCCAGCGCGTCACAATTTTCACGGATATGACAGAAGGCAAAAGCGCTAGGCAGCAAGGTGGCGAAGAAACTCAGCGTGTGTTCCAGAGCTAGTGGTGGTGGGTGGGAGGTGGTCAGGCGCGGATACAAGGGGGGGGCCATGGGGGCCATGGCCCCCCCCTTGGCCGATTTTTTTCAAAAATAAAATAAAAAGTTAAAAAGTTAAAAAGCTGAAAAGGGGGCCTCCTGAAAATAAAGTGGCCGAAATCCGATGAGTTTTTTTTTTTTTTTTAAACCTACCCACTTAGTTATTTCTTAGAAGACTAGCTGAGAAGACTCCTTTGTTAGAAGATTGGTAAGGCTTTTCATAACTTGGAGGTCTCTTATACTCACAGAGATGACCACTTTTACAGGGCCTCCTAACCTGCACAGAGGGCCTCCAAGCCTGCACAGATGTTGAGATGTTGCCTGAACAGCTAGATAAGCTCAATAGACGCAGTTTTTTTTTTTGGGGGGGGGGCCCAACAAGTGGGAAGAAGGGGCCTCCAACAGGTGGGATTATGGGGGGGGCCTCCTGGTTTCTAATGGCCCCTCCCTTGGAGATTTTCTGGATCCGCCCCTAGAGGTGGTTCCAGGAGGTTGCCGCTCGGTAGGAAAAAGCTCGTCTCGACATTGATAAGCGATAATTTGGTAACTCTAATGCACCCGACAGCGTGGAACGTGTGGCGCGCGCAGACACAGCCGCCCGTGTTGTGAACAAAGTGCGTAATGCCGCGGGAGCGAGCGGGTCCTTCAGCGCTCTGAAAACACGAATGTTGTCGCGATAGGTGACTAAATCCGTGATTTTGGGCCAGCCCAGTGCAGACAACACGGGGGAAATGTGATCACGGTGTTTCGCCCCAGATACGATTCTAGCTGCGAAATTAATGACTTTCTGCACCCGCTTGAGGTGACAACCTACAGCCCCGCCCCAGACTGAGAGGCAGTAAATGATGTGGGGGAAGACATGACATTGAATGAGAAGTTTCAAAACATCAGCTGAGAGGTGATGTCGAATTTTGTAGAGAGACAGTGTGTCCAAAATTGCAATGTTGCGGGGAAATCGATCCATAATGAAAAGTATAATGACATCCTGAAAATATAAATAAAAACATCCTCACGACAGTCACAACTTAACCCTATTCCTGGCGGGCTCCGCCGGGACAAGAAACTGGCGGGGGGGGGGCCGATTCGGCCCCCCTTCAGATCTCAAAAACTACACATCGCAGCGACAAACGGTAAACGGCATCGCATACGCACGGTCAAGATCTACAATTTTCACTAAGGTCATTTTCAGGTCAGGTCAAAGATGACGTCACATGGGTCGAAAAAGTCAAAATGGCGGCGCTAGACATGGAGAGTTTTTTCTCGAATAACTTTCGAATTAGTCAAGATAGGAACAAACTAAGGGCATCATCGTGATCCTCTCGTCAATCCGCATCGAATGATATATATGTTGACCTCGAAAGGTCAAGGTCAAAGGTTGACCTCAGGTCACGTGACCTCGAGGTCATCATGTATATCATTCGATGCGTCTTGACGATCTGAACACAATGAGACCATCCACGCGTCTGTATCTTGTTCCTGTACGGAGTTATTGGCCAAAAACCTTTGGTGACCTTTGATGACGTCACATGACCTCACAGCTGCCCAACAGCAAAACAGACCTAAAGGTAGTGAAGGTTGATCGTATATGAAGTCATGTATGGTATATGGGGCCATTCCGACCCGTTTTAGTGGTAAAAACAGGGAGTTGATTTTTCCCCCATTGACTAATAATGGGGAGGTCGCGAAACTGACCTGACCTTAGGTCACCGATATCAAAATTCCAAGATATACAAATTGCACATACTGGTACCCTAACTAAAGCCTGAAGAGAAGAAATTGATCGGTCAAAAACTCTAGCTCTGGCGTGATTGCAAACTTTTCTGAGGTAGGGTCACCAAACCGCCTCTGGTGACCTGACCTGAGGTCAGATCAACTCAAAATTTTCAGACATGTTGCGTAGAAGCCTTTTAGGAAAAGTCAGAAAATTTGAGCTTCCTAGCTCAACGCGTTTGGGAGAAATAACCAAAAAACCTCAGGGGGGGCTCCTGAGGCCCCCCCCGCCAGGAATAGGGTTAACACGAACCCAAACGTCTTGGAGCAAGAGAAACACGAACTAAATCTCACAAGACGCCAAGACAACCATTCGAATAACCAAAATGTTAAAATGTAGGTATGACCCGCCTTAAAAACCTCATTTGACATCCCGAATTTCACAATGCGCTCACAGTTTTATTAGTATTTAATATGTCTACATCATTTTCTCGTGACGTATCAATATATGAAAAAGTGCTTAAAAAGGATCGAAGTCAAGTTTTATTAAAATAACGACATCCTCTCCGGCCTTTTTGCTGCATCCTCCCCCTAACGTAAAATGAATTTAACCACACTGTAGAGAGAAATAAGGACGGCATTGCATTTTTTGACGACACTGGAAATGTGCTTTTCCCAGGATAGGCTGGGATCAATGGTTACACCTAGCATCTTCACTTGAGAAGATGGCTTGAGTACATGTCCCGGTAGGTTTAAATGGAAAGCTGAGGCTTTCTTCAGGTTCTGGGGGTGCTAGAAATGAGAAGGCTAGTCTTCGATGGGTTCATTTTCAAAGAGTTTGACGTGAAGTAGTTGAGAACAGCACTGAGGCTTTCCTCCTGTCTCGCTTTTAGGGTAGACAGAGATGCGGGGTCGGTGGAATCTAGTAACTGTGTGTCGTCGGCATAAGAAACCAAGCGTCCGTGGGGAACATATGCTGGAAGATCATTTGTGAAGATGCTGAAGAGGATGGGACCAACTAAGGAGCCCTGTGGAACACCGTGAGACAGAGGCAAAGATAGAGACCCGCCTCTCACTACCTGTTGCCGACCAGACAGGTAGCTTCGGAACCAATTCGGATCTATTCCATACCAGCAGAGTTTCGTAAGGAGGACGTCGTGATCAACGCTATCAAAAGCGCGGCTCAAGTCAATTGAAGTTACAGCTACGATGTCACCCTCGTCGATGCGCCGCGTCATCCACTCGACAGCATCGGTCAAAGCATCCTCCGTCGAGTGAGCAGCTCTATATGCATATTGCGAATTGACCAACAGGTGATTAGTAGCAAGAAAGGACGACAGCTGCATACAAACAACTTTTTCACATAACTTCGAGAGCACCGACAGGAGAGAGATGGGCCGGAAATTACTCTGGTTATCTATGTCGCCGGACTTATGAAGTGGTACGACGGTCGCGAGTTTCCATGATAATGGAAAATGACATGATATTATCGATGCATTCACGATATGCAGCAAGTGTGGACCAATCACAGGAAAACATGCTCTGATTGCGTGTAGTGGCACACCGTCATGCCCCACTGCTCTAGATGCAGACAACTTTCGCAACGCCAAAGACAGTTCTGATAGTGTAGCCGGCTTCAGGCGCAGACCCGCTGACGTCACACGCGGCGGCCTTGGCGGGAGCCGAGAGGGACCGCTGACGGCCAGCTCCGCAGCAATTTTCGATCCGACGGTGGCGAAATGACGATTGAACTCATCTGCCTGTTCTGTCGGCATCCCACATATGCCTTTTTTACCCCCACACGCAGGACGCACCGCAAATTCAGATATGTTGCGCCAAAAAGATCGTCGATCAGATAACAAGTGAGCTGACAAAAAGTCGCGTTTACTTTTTAATAGACGCCCTTTCACAAGGTTCCGCAATCTCCGGTACACATCTCTATCATCGACGGATCGAGAACGTTGCCATGTACGGAAAGCCGTATCTCTTTCACGCATGAGTTGTTTAAGCTCTTCATTATCCTCTATCCAGGGGCACCGTGGTCGACGAGGGGTACAGTTTTTAGGGGGCAGTGAGTGTCCACAACCTTCCACCACAGATTTAGAAAAGCGGCTAATTTCTTGTCCACGCTATCCGCGCTGTACATTTCACCCCAGTCTGATAGTAGCAAAGATAGGCAAACGGCATCCCAATTCACTTTCCGCCAGGGTCGTGCCTTGTGTTACGAAAACTAATTCGCCTGATTGGTTTAGTCACTCTGAATGCTGCTCTGGTTACAATAAATTGAGCTATATCTGCGAGTTTCAAAATCATGCGGCTAAATCGGCGCACCTCCACGGCCCAAACACGATGACCGTCAACTGGTTTATTGCGGCGATCAGCTGATGCAAAACTGGGTCAGTGTGCCACGTGTGCCCTGTGGTTCACACCTTCCTCACCAGAGGCGCGCCACCGTCCACAGAATCTGACCCGCAATCTGCTCCATCCTAAAACAGAGCCAATAGGTGGCGCTGGGGAGGTGACCAAACAAGCACCAGGTAGCGCTGGGGGGCGGGCGGCACTAAATATGGTCCACATTTCACAACACCTTGAACGGGGACGGCCGACGGCTCTGACGACGGAGCTGTGCTCGAACGATGATTGTGAGGTGATCGGCGATTTGGTCAGATGATGTTAGGACTGAAGCGTTTTGATCCGGAACATTGCTGATGATGTGATCGATGAGTGAAGTAGAGGGTTCTAGATGTGTTGGCTCGGTGACTAGTTGAGTTAGACCCAGTTCGTTCAAGGCGGCTTTGTACTGACATACTCCAGGAGCGTCATGTTGCAATAAATTTATATTTGTGTCGCCCAAGCAAAAAACTGGCTTTCCGTAGCCGAGCGCGTGTTTTAGCTGATCTTGGAGGTCGTCGACAGCGCTGGCCACCGATGTGGATGGTGCTCGGTACACCACGCCGACTGTGACCGAGCGAAGACCCCTGCCGCTGATGCTGAGCCAGAGAGTCTCGCAAGGCCCGGCTGCAGGGATTGGCAGAACACTAGTAGTCAGCTCCTCACGATGTATGATAGCCACACCACCTCCACGAGCAGTACCTCTCTGCCCCGTTTCGGGTTGGGATAGCCGATCTCTTCTTATGATCTGATATCCGGGGAAAGCTAAGATTCTGCTCTGAACGGGTTTTGAGAGCCATGTTTCCGTCACGCATAAAACGTCCAAATCTTGTTGCGTTAACAGTTGATTGATTTCATTAAGCTTCGGTACGATAGAGCGAACGTTTGAATGACCGATATTCAGAGTGTGCCGGGGTAGACGTCGGTTGGTTTCTCCCAGTGAAGGGTGGCGCTCTACACGGCGGGCCCCACTGGCCCCAACGCCTTCCTGCCGGCTGCTGTCCGCTGGCAGGCCCGGCCCAGCCCGGGGTTCAGCCGTCCGGTCTCGTCCTGCATGGACGAGTCCGGGGCTGCCTGTTAGGGGGATCAGGACACGGCCGCGGCTCGGGCACCGCTCGTGCTCTATGGCACGTCTGCGGCGCGCCTGGACGTGGCGGCCGGCCCGTCTCCCCCTGCAGTGCCTCCTTACTCCGCCGCTGGGTGAGAGATTAATGGGTCTGTCCATGAGGGATTCTCCCCTGGTCCGAGTGTCCGACGACCGTCGGAGTCGACGGCGGTGGAACGTGCGGCGGTAGACGACGACCGAGCCGTGTGATTGGCTGGTGGAGCTCTTCTAAAACCGGTAGAATTTTGGTCGAACGAAACGAGGGCCATGGCATAGGCTTTCGATTGTCATGAAGAGTAAAACAAAACTTGAATATTATTCGCAAGCCCACAAGATGAGGGACGAGCGAAAAATCACCACGCATTGCCGAAGCTAGCACTGTTCGACATCGCTGATACTTGAAAGCACACTGGCACTATTTCCGCGGAAAAAAAAACTGGTAAAACGAC